TTATTATTATTATTATTATTATTGATGGTTTATGGAGGTTATTTAGGCCTTTATGTTTAGAGTTAACAGAACAAAATGTTCAAATCTTAGAGAAACAAACATCTGTCAGTCAAACAGGCTGTCTGTCCTCAGACACATTTCAACAGGAAGCAGAAACAAAAGCAAACAGTCACATGCACAGCTGTGTGCACGTTAGTCAACGTGCACACAGCTGTGTAGCCAATGTTGACTAACGTGCACACCTCCTGTCTCCCTACACAGAACATGAGGAGTGTTGAAGGTTGTGCAGCTGCAGAAGCTCAAACAGAGGATTGTAAAGCAGCAGGTCTCTGTGGAAAACAGTCACTGAGACTGTCTACATCCTGGTGACAGAGGACAGGAAACACTGCCTTTAACAGGAAGAAACCTCCAGCAGGACCAGGACCAGGACCAGGACCAGCTGGGTTGGAGGACAGGAAAGAAACCCAGAGTGACTCAGAAGAACTGGTCCAGGACTGGTCCAGGACTGGTCCAGGAGCACCTTCTTGATAGAAATAATGACAGTAACCATGTAGAGAAGACAGAGTAAAGACAGCAGAGTCATGATGACAGCTCAGTCTGCAGCTCTGACATGAACACAAAATAAACTGACTTGAGACAACAAACTTCGCACAACAGAAAAAAGGAAATTATTGGAAAAACTACAGTTTGTGGTGCTTGATGTGAGACCAGTGTGCATTGTTGAGGCTTTTAAAGAACTTTAGTACATCCTGGAGCCGGGCTACACCGTCCCCACAACAGCAACAGTGATGGACGTCCAGCACACAACATACTCATTATCAGACAACACAACACAGAAGTGTGCAGCAGTCAGGTCACAACACATATCTGGACCTGGCTTCACATGGACGCCTGTCTCACCTCACATTTCATCACTGAACACTGACGACAACAGAGGTGGTTTACAAACACAAAGATGGAGGACAGACACACAACAGATTACAGGAGAGTTTCTGTGCTCCATGAGCAGCTCTGATCAGCTCAGCCTGTGGCCTCTGTGCACAGAGTGCACTGTGTGGGTCACACACACTGCTGTGTATTAACACACACCTGAAACTGTGCATTAACACACACCTGAAACTGTGTATTTACACACACCTGAAACTGTGCATTAACACACACCTGAAACTGTATTTACACACACCTGAAACTGTGCATTAACACAAACCTGAAACTGTGTATTTACACACACCTGAAACCAGATCTCATGTTGTCTCATGTTGTCCCATGTTGTCCCATGTTCTCCCATGTTGTCTAATGACGTCTAATGGTGTCTCACGTTGTCTGATGTTGTCTAATGACGTGTAATGTTGTCCCATATTGTCTCATGTTGTCCCGTGTTGTCTAATGACGTCTAATGTTGTCTCATGTTGTCCAATGACGTCTAATGTTGTCTCATGTTGTCCAATGACGTCTAATGTTGTCTCATGTTGTCTAATGACGTCTCATGTTGTCTCATGACGTCTAATGACGTCTAATGACGTCTAATGTTGTCTCATGACGTCTCATGACGTCTAATGTCTCATGTTGTCTAATGTTGTCTAATGACGTCTAAAGACGTCTAATGACGTCTAATGACGTCCCATGTTGTCTCATGATGTCTAATGACGTCCCATGTTGTCTCATGATGTCCCATGTTGTCTCATGACGTCTAATGACGTCTAATGACGTCTAATGTTGTCTCATGA